ATGAGTAGGTCTTTCCTGTAGATTCTGCTCTGGCTGAGTTGTGAAGGATGACTCACAGTAAGAAGAAATCTGAAATGTTTTAATAGGTTACATCAGATCACCATCTAGTTGGTTGTACTTTAATCAGAGCAATCACAGTTGTTTGGGCCAGTCTGTTTTAAGCTTATTTCAGTTGTTTGTTTACCAAACATTCACTTATCTCTGAATTATTTTACCAGCAATTTCAGTGGCATAGCAATTTAAGGTCCAGATCTTGCAAACCCTCCATAGCAAGCGTAGTGCTTAGTAAGGCACAGAGCCCTCAGTCTAGTTCCCACTAAAGACAGTTGAAAGACTCCCACCGGTTTTAATGGGAATCAGATCACGTATTTATTCCCCTTGACTTCACTTTGACTCCTCTTGTGCCCAGCCAGTTTGCCTATGTAGTGAGGACAGTCTAATCCATCTAGGTGTTTACATAGCCCCTGTTACCATAGTATGTGAATACCTAGAGCCACCAGCCTCACAGATTGGAGTGAGTAAAATGTAGGGCTCTGGTGGAGAGGGCTGCACCTTTGGAAGGATGATGCACAGTCAGAACTCAGCAATATTGGCCCCTCCTCACTCTACATCCAGGTTGGGCCCTGGCTCAAAGCTACAGTCTGGTCTCTAGGTGTGTATTCTTAAATTCATAACCAGTTCACCTTGGATATTCTGGACTCAGCTCTTGTCACATCCATAGACGCTTCGCCTGCTCGTGAGATTAACATATGTGGGTCCTTAGCAATGTGTGGACAATTCCAAGGACTGCAGGTAGCCTTATATCTTTGTTCTCCTTATATGATCTCGTAAAAAATGTTTGTTCCTGCCTTGACACAGCTATTAGGATCATTAGTCATAATTGTTAGTATAAAAATGTTCTGATCGCTCTTTTTAAAGCAGGATGAATATAAAGGAAGAAATGGCAAAACATTCAGCTGGATAAAGGTGCATTTGTGCAATTGTTATACATGTAGGCTTGAGGAAAGGGGGTTAATTATAGTTTTAGCTATATTTGTAAAGTTTATTTAATCCAACCAGACTTCAGAGTTTCTGCTTTTGTGCTGCATTAAATCCATGTTGAAAGCTTTACAGTGTCATGGTTGACACAGTACTTAACCAAAACTTTGATTCTTGAGACTGCTGGCTGCATAAGTAGTACTGAAATGATTAATCAAGTTATTTGAACAGATTTCAACCAGATTAAGAATTAACCACACTACACCAAAATTTTCCAGCTGAGATGCAGAAGAGGGTTTTTCTTCCACCTGGGACAGAAAGTTAACATGTAACAAGATAGTTTATCACATGCAGGCGGTGTCTGTAAGTGGAGCTTAAACGTCATGTTGGCAAAAAAGTGTTTTGTAGACTCAGCTAACTCCCTGTTGGACAACTCCTGCTTGGCTTATTGCAGTGACTAGTCCCATTGTTCTCATGAGACTTTCTATGTGAGCAGAGTGAACAGGAATTCGTTCCATGCATGCCCATTTCAAAACTACGGTGAAATAGGACATAACTGATCATGGTTGATAGTGTCTACTAAAGGGAAGTTCTGGTCTGAAATAGTCAGGAGTTTCAGGTGAAATTGAGGTGGTGGATTGAGAGATCTGTATGGGGAAAACTGCGCAGAGCCTTCCAACATAGTTCTGACTGTGCCTGGCTCCAACCATTGCTATTAGGACCCAATCCTGCTAAGTGCAGAGCACCTCCTGAGAGATGCTGGGCTTCTTTAACCCCTACAGACGTCAACGGAAGTTGAGGGTGCTTGATTCCATGCAGGATCATACCGTTGGTCTTTTAATGCTTCTATGAGCATTAAATTCACTCACAAACTTATAGAAGAAAGGAGCAAATGAAAGCAATAGCTGGCAGCAGTAATTGTATCTTACTGTTTAATATTGGACTTGGCACTGGTTCTAAATACCTGTAAACTTTGGGAAAGTTCAGCTCTGGGTCTGAACCTTACAGCTCAAAGCCATTGTTAGTTAAAATTGAAAACACTTTCTGCTGGCAGCCTGAATGCACAAAAATAAATCTTTTGAAATGTAATGTAAAGTATGGTTATGCTCAGAAAAGTGACTGTAAAAATGGCAACTTTTACTCTATAGATATTCTCCCTGTATGTCCTCCAGGCATTTCTGCTGACTTTACTGATTAAAACCAAGTTGCTACTGCTGTTAGCACCACAAAGCCAATAAAACCATGGCAGAGAAAGATGGATTTGCATCTGCCTCATGCATCATCAACTAAATTACCAGCTAATTTCTTAGTGCAAAATCGTTACGTGGTGATGAGGTGAGAGGCAGAACAAAGCAGCTTGATTTTTCACATCCCATGAAGAATTTTCAGTGTTTGCAATGAGAAGAATCACCTTTGGGGAGTGTTTAAAGTGAATAAATCTGACCTGGAAGCTATTGAGAAAGTAAATCTGGAACTCTCTCCATGTTGATTTTACAGTCACTGTTAGAGCTACACTTTAATAACGAAGGTATAAACTGTTCCTGGATTGTTTTCTCAGGTGTTACACTGGCTTTTCCTCGCCTCATATTTCTTTCTCATTTAAATTTATATTGGTGATTTCCAAATTGATAAACAAATAAAAGCTCACATGAAGTGCCTTTCGGGCTATGCAATGGAGCAATAAGGTCATAGAGAGAAACGAGCATGTAATTTTAAAAGGTTTTTATGTGGTATATGGGATGTAATGATGGTTCTTTAAAATTACTTATTGGAAAAATTCTAGACAGCAAAGGATTAAATCTGATCTTAAAGTGTGGTTTTACTCTGAAAAAACAACAATGTAAAAATGCCACCTCTGTACTCAACAGATCTGTTCCTTGTGTGTATATGATCCCGAGTCCTCTTTGTTTACTACATTGCCAAAAATAAGTTTCTTCTGTTTTTTTTACCCCCAGTTAGCCCTGCAGCGCCTGCACAGCTAAGCGAGAACCAGCAGGATTTTAGTTGCCCTTTTTACATCAAGAGAATTCTTTACTAATTGTTTGTGTTCGATCTCTCAGGGTACATCATCAACAGTCCCCCCCCCCCCAAAAAAAAACCCCAAAAAACCCCAACCCTGCGGCAGTAAGTCTCAGAGCCTGGGTTAACTGACTCGCGCTTGCACTTCAGAGCTAAAAATAGCTGTGTAGATGCTTGGGCTCAGGCTGGAGACCAGGCTCTGAGACCGGGGGGGGGGGGGGGGGGGAAGGAAGGAGGGGGCAGGTCTTGCAGACCAGGCTCCAGCCTGAGTTTGAACATCTACGCTGCTGTTTTTAGTCCCTCAGTGAGAACCCGAGTCAGTTCACCCAGGCTCTGAGACTTGCTGCTGCTACGTTTTGGTTTTGCTGTGTAGATGCACCCTCAGAGACCAAAAATACAAAAGGCCAGATTTTTAAAGGTATTTAGATGCAGATAGGTGCATAAGCGCATCCGAAAATCCCACTAGGCACCTATGTGCATCTTTAGGCACCTAAATACCTTTGAAAATCTAGCCCAAAGCCACTTAAGAGCCATTCCATTTACTCCTGTTCCCGTCTTCAGGCAATAATGCCTAATAGTCTGTGGTATCAAAGACAGTTAGTTGGTGGAGCTAGTAAGAGCAGCAGACACACCTAGTCATCGTTATTTGTAATGGTGCAAGAGAAGGAAAGATCCTAGCTTGACTCTCGGATCCCAAGCTAAGTTTGCACTTAGAAAAAGACTCTTTTCATGTGCAATTCGCGCACGCTCGATATGGACACACAATGAACATGGCACAGCACAATGACATTTTACAATCACTTTTCAGAGTAGAAGTGCATTTTAAACATACATGCCTTTAAATGCCTATCTCAGAGTTCTACAGTCTTCAGGTTCTGAGGGCTCTCATGGTCTCCATCAGCATGGCCTTGGGAAATAATGCATCAGAGCATACTTTGGGAAATGAAGTATGCATGTTTATTTGTACAGCTTTCAAGCACTCACCATTATGTAGCGAAATCCATTACTGATAAGGTTTCTAAAGCCGAGTGTGACAGGGCACACCACTAGTCTGGCACCTCCTCCTGGCTGCTCTGGGGATTAGCTCATCAGGTTGATGCCCCATTGCCACAGTCGTACACCATCTCTCTCTCAGGTCTGCAGTTCCTCTTTTGTCCCAGGAAGCACAGCGTCCTCTTCATGACTCAGCCCTCTGGCCAGGTCGCCTAGCATTTTCCCCCCTTCTGGGATATATCAAAGTCTTTCCTTCAGCAGCCCTATGCAGTATTCCCATTCACTGCCTCAACCTAGCAGTTCTGGGCTTTACTCATTGCTCCTTCCCAGGACTGCGTCCTACCACTCATTTCCCCCCACTTTCTCTGGGTGTACTAGCTCCAAACCCTGCTCCCTCTACCCAAGGAGTGATTGCTCTTTCCCAGCAGCCCTTGTCTGATGCCAGCTTCCTGGCTTTATAGGCCCTGTCTATTCCTGCTCAGCTGAGCCTGCTTTCTATCAATTCCCTGCCTTCTAGCTCTCCCTCCAGGTGCAGTCTGTGCAGTTAATTGGCCTGCCTGGTCTTCTTAACCCCTTCCAGTCCTGTGTGGGCTGGACACCCCATCACCCAGTTCCATACTTTTACCTTTCTTTTTGAATTAAATGCTTATTTACATTTTTTAAAGAAAGCTTTTTCTAAACATTTGCCTGTGTTGTGGAACCGCTTAAGTGATACTGAGAAATCAGAAAAATAATGAGCTGTCTAGCATCCTCACAGGATTAATACATAGCTTTGTGTTTGAAATGACAATAAGAAAGTGACTGTAACCTGCTCGTTGATTTGTAACCTTGTTGTTGCATTGAATAGGAATTTTTAAAAGCAACACAAGACCCTCATAGACAGACGGGCTGATAATGATGGCAATATTTTTGTGACCCAGTGGTAAATAGGAGAGCTCTTCTTTTAGAGAGCTGATTTTCCTTCCTCCGTGAGCAGGTATGTATTTATAAAATTCTCTTCTTTTTTGTAGGCAGCAGTGACAGATGTGCAGTTTGGCCCTATGAGACTCCACCAAGATCAACTTCAGGTAACACTTTAGGAAATACTGAAATTAAGGTGAAGTTTCATGATCATCACACTGCATTTGTCCTGTAATTTACAGTATGCACATTGATGTTCAAATAAATATTTCACAGCTCAAACTAAAGACCAAATTTTCAGCAGGGCAATGTTTGTGATTGGATCCATTTTGTGTGCACAACCCTTCCCCGGGGCATTTTGGCATGCCAGGCAACAAGCATGTTATCTAACAGATACAGCACTTTGTAAGTTTTCCCATCCTAAAATAAATCCCCACCCTGTTTCCAGCCTCTCCCTTCTCTCTTGCGTCTCTCAACTTATTGAACATGATATCTACAACTATTTCTCCTAGTTTCTGTTCTCCACTTCCACCTGTATTCCAGTCCAATCTGGTTCTCACCCACTACACTTCACTCTACTGAAACTGCTCTGAACAAGGTTGCTCTTTAATGATCCAAATGGACAAATCTCAGACCCTCTGCTCCATCCTCATCCTCTTTGAGCTTTCGGCTGCCTTTGACACTGTTGAGCATAGTCTCCTTCCTGAAGCCTCATCCTCTCTCAGCTTGTGCAACTCCATCCTCCCTTGGTTCTCCTCCTACCACTCTGGTTGTTCCATCAGTACCTCTCTTGGTGAATCCACCTCTTCGCCCCCTCACCCTTTCCAGGAGTATCCCATAGTGGTCCATCAATGCTCCACTCATCTTCTCCCTCTATACCCCATCTCTAAGTAATATCCATTCACATGGTATCAGCTTATACACTACTTAATAATATGGCAAAGGCTGAACTCGTCTTCCCAAATCCTTCCTACTCCCTAGTTTCTCTGTCACTGTTGACACCACAATTCTCCTTGTAACTCAGGCCTATAACCTGGTGTCATCCTGGAGTCCACTACCTCTCTTGCTGCACAGATTCATTCATAGATTCATTCGTAGCTCATAAGGCCAGAAAGGACCATTGTGATCATCTAATCTGACCTCTTGCATAACACAGGCCTCTTATGGACTTCCCTGTATTAATTTCTCTTTGAATGAGATCATCTCTTCCCTGTATTAATTCCTCTTTGAATGAGATCATTGCTTTTAGAAAAAAAAATCCAATCTTGATTGAAAAATTTCCAGTGATGGGCAGTCCACCACAGCCTTGGTTAATTACCCTCATTTTAAAAAAGTACACCTTATTTCAAGGGTGAATTTGTTTAGCTTCAATTTACAGCCATTGGATCCTGTTATATTTTTATCTTCTAGACTGAAGAGCCCTCCATTATTAAATTTCTGTTTCCTGTGTAGGTACTTATAGACTTTGATCAAGTCCCCCTTAACCGTATCTTGGATAAGTCATGTTCTTCCATCCTTTAATCATTGCCATGGCTCTTCTCTAAAACTCTCCAGTATTCCTTGAACTATGATACCAGAATTGGACACATTATTCCAGTACTGGTCACACCAGTGCCAAATACAGAGGTAATGTAACCTCTCTACTTCTACTCAATATTGCCCTGTTTTTATACATCCAATGGATCACAATAGCTGTTTTGGCCATGTCATTGCAATGGAAGCTCATGTTCAACTGATTAGCCATCTAGCCATCATGGAGTCTGAAAAAGACTTGTGGGTCACCACTTCCCAGGATAGAGTCCCCCATCCTGTAAGTATTACCTGCATTCTTAGTTCCTAGATATATAGATATACATTTAGCTGTATTAAAAGACATATTATTTGCTTGTGTCCCTCTTACTAAGTGATCCAGAACGCTCGGTATCCGTGACCTGTCCTCTTCATTATTCACCACTCCCTCAATCTTTGTATATCTGCAGTTTTTATCAGTAATGATGTTATAGTTTCTTCCAGAGTCAGTGATAAATATGTTAGCGTGTGGGGCCAAAAAGTGCTTCCTTTGAGACCCCACTAGAAATACACGCTCTCAATAATGATTCTCCATTTCCGATAACATTTTGAGACCTATCAGTTAGCTAGTTTTTAATTCATTTAATGTGTGGCATGTTGATTTTGTATCATTGTAGTTTCTTAATTAAAATGTTGTGTGGTATGAAATCAAATCCCTACAGAAGTCCAAATATATTACATCAACACTATTACCTTTATCAATCCAATTAATAATCTCACCAAAAAAAGATATCGAGTTAGTTTGACATGATCTGTTTTCCATAAACTCATACTAATTGGCGATAATTATATTACCCTCCTTTAATTCTTTATTGATCGAGTCCTATATCAGCTGTTCTATTATTTTTCACAAGATCAATGTCAGGCTGACAGAACTACTGCCCTGGTTGTCCCATTGACTTCTTTTAAATATTGGCACTACATTAACTTTCTTCCAGTCCCCTGCAACTTCCTCACTGTTCCAAGCCTTATTGCAAATCTGCATTAATGGTCCAGAGAGCTCTTCAGCCATCTCTTTTAAAACACTTGGATGCAAGTTAGCTGGACCTGCAGATTTTAAAATGTCTAATGTTCAGTAGCTGCTGTTTAGCATCCTCCCTAGTTACAGTTGGACTGGAGAGTATTTCGTCGTCATATGACTGAATACATCATCCTGCTTTTGCCCCAAATGAGAGCAGAAATATTTCTTGCATATGTCTGTCTTTTCTGCATTATTGTTGACAATTCTACCATTTCCATTTAGTAATGGTTCAATAAATCAAGCCTCATAATACCTATGGGAGGTAGCTAAGTATTATTATCCCCATTTTACAGATAGGGATACAGAGAGGTTAAACGACTTCAAATCTATGGCAGAGCCAGGAATACAACCCAGATCTGCTGATTGCTGTTCTGTGCTTTTGCTACAAAATGATCCTTCCTTTCTTAAGATTGTTATAAATTAACTTCACTAAAAATAGCCCAAACTATTACATGTTTTTACCGAGAGTTTAGCATAAACTACTATTCGTTGCTATAAAAGGAATCTGAGCTAAATGAACACAAAGTCCTTCACTCTTACAAAAATATGCACTACATGTAAATGTTAAGATTTATTGATAGACATTCCACCAACCGGGTCCAAAGTGTAGCTACCACTGGAATTCTTAAAATAGCCCAGAAGTATAAAGTTCAGCAGGATGTGGTGTGAGTTACAGAAGCTATACATTATTGTTTGACCACAGTATACATATCTTACTGTAGTTTGATTAAATTACTGAACGTTTTGGTGTTGTGTGACAATGGCCAAATTCTGAAAGTGACTTTATTGCCCCCTTCCAAAAATGGACACACACACTGTATTATCTGCAAAAGCAGCCTTAATTAAAGGCCCATATTCTATTCTATCAAACAGCCCAAATCAAGCCTCTTCCTCACTCCCTACACAGTGTCATCCTGATGCAAAGCCTATTGCAGTCAATGGCAATTTTTCTGTAGACTTTAATGACCTTTGGATCCGGCCTCTTCAACTTCTGTAGCACCTTCCATCGTGGTGCTCCAAACACCATACAAACATGAAGGAATTAAGCCTCCCCACACCTGTATGAAGTGGGTAAGCATTATTATCCCCATTTCAAAGAAAAAAAGAAACTGAAGCACAGAGACATTAAGCTTGCCAAAGGTTACGGCGTGAGTTTGTGACCGAGCCAGCCCTAGGTCCCAGAATTCCTGACTCTCAGATTTTTATTTTAACCACAGCACACTCCCTCTGGAATAAATTGCAAGGCAGACTTTGCCTAGGAGTCATAGCTGGGGCAAGCTGCATATACAGGAATACCTCCCTTGACTTCAGAACCTCATAAGCTCACCAGGACTCCGATAGTTCTTGCTATTCACAATATTTCAGGGGAGTCAGGATGAGATGGAAGGCCCAGCACGTTTTCCATCATACCACTGCAGCATCTGTGCAGATTTTCCCCACAAATTATTTAGCCTGTGATTCTAGCAGTGTTAGCAAGTGGACATCCTGTACTAAGGCCCAGTCCAGCAAAGCCCTTAAGCATGTGCCTGGAACTGCTCACATGCTTACAGTGACACCCGTTTTAAGTGCTTTGCTGGAACGGGGTCAAAGCAAGCAAAATGAACGAAAGTTACTTGTATATCTATACAAGGACATATTACAGACTCTTTCTATGATAAACCATATGTTTATTGTTATTACACACACTGTATTCTAGTTTTAATAGTGTTCTCATTAAAATATTCCTTGGCTCTATCAAAAACAGTCTTATTAAATACTGTATGTAAATCTTGTAAATGGACTTCACTAAAGTTTTCATAAAGTGGCTTAGGACTTGTAGAAATAGCAGCTGTACTGTATATTTAAAGATCTTTTAAACATGATTCACTCTTTTCTTTTTCTCAGGTACTTTTAGTGTTTGCCAAAGAAGATAACCAGAGTAACGGGTTCTGTTGGGCCTGTGAGAAGGCTGGGTTTCGGTGTAACATTGCCAGGACACCTGAATCTGCGCTAGAATGTTTTCTGGATAAACAGCATGAAATTATCATTATCGACCATAGACATTCCAGATATTTTGATGCAGAAGCTCTATGCAGGTAAGTTCCATAACAATGAAATTTAAAAACTAGTATTTTTATTATAAAGGAATAGATGGAAACTCAGAATGTGATTATATGCAGGAAGAATGTATAAAGTTATAGTGAATCTGTTGCCACAAATTTGTCATTTATATATTAGCTTTTTGATAAAAATCTAGAAATGTGCAAAAAGCAATGAGACCTGAGGGGTGTACACAATTGTTTTGTCATTTGCAAAGCAATAAACAACTTCTGAGACTTTATTGCCAAAGTGAGGCTGAAGTGCTGGAGTTTCAAACACTTAGACCCACAGTTGCATGCCTAATTTGCAAACAGAAGTCTGGGAATTCCATACATAAATTCATTTAATTATCCATTTATATGCATAGGTGCTGGAACTAGGGGTGCTGCCACACCCCTTGGCTTAAAGTGGTTTCCATTATATACTGGGTTTATAGTTTGATTCAATGGCTGTCAGCACCCCCTCTCTAAAAATTGTCCCGGCACCTCTGTTTGTATGCTCAATTTCTTGAAACTTCCCATGCAACTACATGTGCAAATGAGGCAACATTTTGTGTGCACAATTGCACACCTACAATGTTTGTAAATCTGGCCTGAAATACATAATCTTTCTCAAAAGCCTTGTACGTATTACAAATTTACTCCAAAACAACCCCCACAAACTACTATAGCACATGAATAAGGGGGAAAATATTCGTTCATAGCTCTTCAAGGACTGACTTGCTAGTGAAATACTCTCTATGTCTAGACTAAATAACTGATAGGGCTTGGGGGGCTGAGGTCAGAGTTCTGACTGCGGGTGAGTGTGGTGGGGTCAGGACACTGGGACAAAGGCTTTACTCCCTTGTTAAAATAAAGGAATTAGTTTAAGATCTGTCAGGAGAAGGCAGGAGAGCATTGGTGTTCCCCTGGTTAAATTTTTACCACCCAATTCTTGAGCAGAGTAAAATGCTCGTTAACTGATCGAGGACAAGTCTGGAACATGCATAACTTGCATGTTATGGCTTCTTTTGGAATGGAGCATTGTGAATGTAGTGTCAATATGGGCTTTGTCATTTGTGAGGGGATGATATTTGCTATTCCCGCACCGGGCTTGGCTAAAACCTAGACTAATCTAATTGTTTTTTCCACTGACACTCATAAACTGTTAAACATGGTCTTCTTTTGTAATTACCAAACAAGCTGGGGACTCAGTTTTGATTTGGTTTTGGTTTTTGTTTTTTAGAATTAAGCATTTAAGAAAGGGATTTTCTAAAGACAGTGTAGGATTTATTAAAGGTGAACTACAGAAATGTTAAGTGATCACGTTTCTTTATTTTAAGGTCTATCAGAACAACTAAAGCCTCAGAAAATACAGTCATAATTGGTGTAGTACGAAGGTAAATTGCAAATATCATTATTTTCCAATGTAAACAATCAAATGAATGTGAATCTAATCATCACAAAGGCAAATACTAGAATAATAGCTCTAAATCAGAACACTTTATTGTGTTGGTGACCCTATATTTTTACTGTGCTGTGTTCACCATCCTCTGCTGTAGGAGGGGTGTCGCCTTGCCTTTTGATTTCTGCATTGTACCAGATATTTTCCCCCCATCACTGAAGCTTTTCAGAACATGATTTGACCAAAAAAAATAGCACTGTGTGCCAAGCTGGGGAGCCTTCTCAAGGCTGGATGTTTTAGCACTCATGGAAGACCCTCCTTGAAGCTGTCAGTATCCCTCGATACAGAACTGCACAGTTGGCCTGTCACCTCTCATCCCTTCTCCATGCCCTCTTTGAGTGGATGCTTTGTTCACTGCTGTCTAGGGAGACCATTTGTCCCAGTTTGCCAGGATTGCCCCTGTACTGAAGTCCTGTCCTGCTAATCTTGCTTGTTCTTCTGAAACTAGTTTTGTTGCTGTTTCAGTGAAAGCCTCTGGGAGGGTTGTCCAGCCACCTTTACCCATCCCCTGTTCTAGTCTCTCCAACTCCTTCTCTCTCGACTACAGATCCAGCTCTGTTAGTATTCCTTACCTTTCCGTTGAAGTCAGGCCCAACAGCTTCCTCTGTCCTGGCCTAATGAGTCACCCCCCACTCAGTCAGTCTTGATCTTGGCTACCTCCTCTTTTTCTCTTGTTTGATTCTGCTGCACTGTGTTTGGAGTACAATCTTAGCAGAAAGAAGCATTGGCCAAAAGAAAAATAAGCTGGCAGGTGGCACTTTAGGCCAGGGCAAAGGAAGCTGCTGGCAAAGATCTCATTAAACTTGAGCTCTCCAGCCTTTCAGACCACTCAATGTCCCAGCCTGGTGTAAAAGGCTAAGAAATAAATTTGCATTGCCCTGGGGGTATGTCTACAATGCAATAGGAGGTGTGGCTGCAGCTCAGGTGGGCATACCCGTACTAGCTAAAACTAGCCAGGACAATGCGGCAGCCTGGACCCTTGCACAGGCTAGGAATGCAAGTACGTATCCAGGGTGCGGGACAGGCTTATACAGACCAGGCTGAAGCCTGTGCTGCCACATCTTCACTGCTATTTTTAGCCATGCTAGCTAGATGAAAGCAAGCGTGGGTATGCCTTCCCAAGCTACAGCACACCTCCCATTGCAGTGTAAACATGCCACAGGATCAATTTTCTGCTGAATAGTACATTGTACCACTATGTCTTCACTGACCAAAAATAAAGGTGTGTTTTTACCGTAAGAACGTGGCAAGTCAAGGCACTGTACTTTTAGCTCAAGGTAAGCAAAGTGACCCAACCGTAGGCAGGGGGTATAGTGCTAACCTCGCCTAGCAACCTGACAGTAAACACAAATGCCTTGTGTCCATTTAGGATTTTACTGGGAGCTAACGATCATGTGTCAGTTATCTTACTATAGAAAAACCACTTTTGTGCCAATGAAGACAAAGCCCATGTTAGCTAACACTTTGCAGAGGTTCTTCTGTTGTGCATAGGATCATTTCTCTCGAGGCAGGTTCCAACAGTTCATTTAGTTTTCTTGCCAGAACCTTTTTCTTATTTCTTTGTACTCCTGGGAGGCAGCATTATCGAGTTGTTAGAACAGGGAACTCATGGATTCTAAGGCCGAAGGGACCATTGGGATCCTCTAGTCCAGGGGTCGGCAACCTCTGGCACGCGGCTCGGCAAGGTAAGCACCCTGGCGGGCCGGGCCAGTTTATTTACCTGCTGACGCGGCAGGTTCGGCTGATCGCGGCCCCCACTGGCCGCGGTTCGCCGTCCCAGGCCAATAGGGGCGGCGGGAAGCAACGCGGGCGAGGGATGTGCTGGCCTCAGCTTCCCGCCACCCCTATTGGCCTGGGACGGCAAACCGCAGCCAGTGGGGGCCGCGATCGGCCGAACCTGCCGCATCAGCAAGTAAATAAACTGGCCCGGCCCACCAGGGTGCTTACCCTGGTGAGCCGCATGCCAGAAGTTGCCGACCCCTGCTCTAGTCTGACTTCCTGTGTAGCACAGACCATAGAAATTCCATACAATTGTTCTAGAGCAGATCTTTTAGAAAAACATCCAAGCCTGATTTAAAAATTGTCAGTGATGGAGAGTCCACCATGATCCTTGGGAAATTGTTCCAATTGTTAATCACTTGCACCATTAAAAATGTATGCCATATTTCCGGTCTGTATTTGTCCAGCTTCAATTTCCAGCCATTGGATTATATTATACTTTTCCCTGTTAGATTGAAGAGCCCATTATTAAATATTTGTTCCCCATGTAGGTACTTATAGATTGTAATCAAGTCACCCCTTAACCTTTTTCTTTGTTAAGCTAAATAGATTAAGCTCCATGAGTCTATCACTATAAGGCATGTTTTCTAATCGTTTAATTATTCTTGTGGCTCTTCTCTGAACCCTCTCCAATTTATCAACATCCTTCTTGAATTGTGGGCACTAGAACTAGGCACATTATTCCAGAAGCTCTCTCACTGGGAGCTAAGATACCTAGAGCTATTGTCTGGTCTGCCACTGACTCTCTGTCTGACCTTGGGCAGGTCCCTTAATTTAGCTATGCTGTTTCCCCATCTATAAAATAGAAATAATCATACCCACTTAGACTGCCCTGAAGTTTTCAAATCAGAAGAACTATTTAAATGCAAGCTATTACGTCATCTGCTTCACCAGCCTCCATTACCTCTGATATATTTTTAACCACACCTAAAACAATTGCCATTCCTCCAACTTCCTCCATTCCAAGATATACACATATTTTTTTTAAATATTGAAAGATTATATGGCCAAGATTTTCAAAAATAATGAGTGATTTTGGTGCCTCTTTTTATGGGCGTCCACCTTGTCACACCGTAAAGAGTCCTGATATTCGGAAAGTGCTGAGCCCCCGACTTTGGAAAACCAGGCCCTATTGAATGTCCCAAGTTAGACATCAAGCTTTGAGGCGCCCAAAATCACTAGTCACTTTTGAAACTAGTTGGCCATGTCAACTTTCAAGTTCACCATATTTTCCATTGGCCAAGGATAGCAACAACGGTAAAGAGTCGAGCATAGAAAAACATGGACTAGTCAAGCGATTTCTGAAGTCTGTTGGCTTGAAGCATTGATTTTTGTGTTGCAAAAAAGTTAGGGAGGGTACTTGAAAATGGAAATGATAATTTTGATGTAACATTTACTGAAAATTAAACTTAACGTTCAAGATGATTATCAAAGCACAAGAAGTGTATTTGATTTACAATAACAAAACTGTAATGCTTGGCTACATAGTGTGTGTTTTAGGCCCCAGTCCTGCTAAAGATTCTTTTGTGGGACCAAGACTGAATGAGCAAAAGAGGCATTTCTGACTTTGTCATTCTGTTTTGAAAGACATAGTGATCGGGAGGAGTCATCAATATTGCCACTGATTGCAGCAGGCTTCACAAGGGTACGTATGTATTGTCAACCCCTGGATCGTTCTGTAATGTGTGAACTCTGATGTAATATGAGAAGCTGTGTTGCGGTTTGGTTTTCAGTGGTCCGGTTTGTCAGTAGTCCAATCTGCAAAGCCTCACCTTCTGTAGTCCATTGTTCTATATTGTCTCCTTCTGAGCTAGCATATCCCAATGGAAACAGAAACATGACTACTTCAGAGAGCATCCTAACTATCAGAGACTCTTTGTATGCTTATTTTAAAAGAAATTTAAAAGCATTAAACTTCTTTTCATAAGTATATATGGGCCAGACTGACCCATTAGTAGCCATACTGTAGCAGAGCTGGGAAGTAGCTTGTAGTGAACAATAGGACATCCTATGGGGAATTTATGCTATCAAATACAAATTCTCACCTGTGCAACGGGCTTCAGACATTATCAGGTGCTATTATCTATTGTCTAGAGTCATCAGGAATGCATTACACTGAATCTGTTCCCTGACAACTATCCCAATTAAGCAGGTTTGGTGCTTATTAGTGTGTCAGTTAGGTGGATTCTTCAGTACATTAAGCTGACAATGGAACAAAAAGTGCATGATTTATAGTGAGACGAATGGTGCATGTTCACTAGTTTGTTTACTACTCTGTCATAGCGTATTTGCATCCCTCTCCTTATTTGTAGTTAGACCTCAGTGCTGCAAATGCTAAAGGATGGGAGTAATTTTATTCATCTGAGTAGATCCAGTGACTTCAGAGGGACTACTCAGATGAGTAAAGTTATGCAGAATGCTTATTTTCAGCATTAGGGGCTTGACAGCCTTGGCATTATCTTAGTAGAGCCCATTCCTGCAATTCTTACTCCTGATCAACTCCCCTTGAAGTCCATGGCACTTTAGCATGTATGAAGATCCAAAGGGCTTGTCTACACTTGGAAGTTGTTTCTGATTAAAGTAGGGGATGTATTTCAGCTGTTCCTGAATAACTCCATGCTTATTCTGGAACAAGAGTTCCTTGTCTGTTTAGTTTAACCCACTTTGGTTAAGTTAAATAGGAAGATGGCACTTTTATTACAGAATATGTGTCCACACATAGTTATCTGGGAACAGTTAATCAGGAACAGGTTAGTGAACAGGAAAATGAATACACACTAGACAAGGGCTAATATTTTGTCATGTAATAGTCAAAAAAAGCATTGTTTGTTTCTGTCCATGAAATTATGACCTGGAAAGCTATACACCATGTAAAATTAGTGTTGAAATTTGACTTTTTTGATTAACAATATGATTTAATTGTTATTTAAACTAAACAGCATGAAGACAAATAATTTTAACAGAAATTAGTTTGATCCTATTTATTGACTTTGTTGATAGTCACATTGACACAGCATGCTCTTTTTATCTTGTTGTTACACTTTATTTTCTATTGCTTTTTTCAAAATGTAACACCTGGAGGAAATGCACCAGCCTGATGAAGTTTCTAGAGCTCTTTACTTGTGAAGTGTTCATTTTATGCATTCCTGATGTCATTCATAATTTATTTTTTCTTTAAAACAGCATATCTTTATTGACAGACAAGTCAACTGCTGAAATATTTCTAACTTTTCATTTACAGAGATATGTAGAAAATTCCAATATAATGGCCTGTTACAATGAGCTAATTCAGCTGGAATTTGGAGAAGTGCAGGCACAATTTAAACTAAGGTAATTTTACCAATTTCAAGAAACATCAACAATAAAAAAGGCCAAATTTATTCTCATCCAAAAAAGAATATTTCTTCTTACTATATGGATGCTCACTATAGAAAATTAGTTTGCCAAATTAGTATGTCCCTATTAATCCCTGAAGCACAAACTCCTGCCAGAATTTGTGTTTTTTCTGTTGTATGATATTTTATATATACCTTAAGAGACAAGTAAATTAAATCTAATCCATTGGGGTTTTTTTCTGTCTACAAGGGCTTGTAATTCAATATTTACAGCACTCGAGAAAAGTCAAGAAGCCATTGAGATCACAAGTGAAGATCATGTAATACAGGTTTGTTCTAGTTATATTTATAAGCATAAAATATTGTTCTGTGGATTCACTAAATTTTATTTCATCCACAATTATATGTACTCTTTCTTTAAAAGAAGTTCAAGCATCTGACCTAATAGTTCTGAACAGATGAGACAAATTCAGCTCTCATGTACAATTTCCTCAGTTTAAAATATCCTGTTTAAACCAAGTCCATTTAAAAAAATAAGTAATCTTTGAGGTTATGCTGCAGATCTGGCCCTCAGTCTTTTTGTGATGCTTATTTCATATGTTGCTGATAACTGTTGGTGAACACAGCCATGGTTTTATAAACTTTCTTTTCCTAAAGTGTTGCAAATTAATTTAATTTTTCTTTAAAACCTAGCTGCAAGTGAAGCTAATTCCAAGTGCAGACAAGGCCCCTGAGTGTAAGTTTTAGTCAAGTTTTAGCAAATGTCCACAAATGACTAGAATAAAATCACAAAACTCATTTCCTTGAAGCTCGTTATCCTTGAAGACTTGAATCCATCCCTCTGTACACACTGGGGCTCAAACCAGTTTAAGGAACAGAATTTAAACTAAATTTGAACACAGACCCAGTTAACCTGCTTTCTGTGATGGTATGGCCAGCTAATGTGGATGAAGCCAAATCATATTGTAACTCTGTTTAAACAAGATTAGAATACTTTTTTAAAATGTGGTATTGAAGTGTTGTTTGTTCCATCTACACTCACTTGCTAAACTGATTTAGAGACTGACTGGGTTGGAACCATATTTTTGAATATGGTTCCCCAGTTCCCAAACTAAAGTCAGCACAGACAACACCTAGCTCTCCGTTCTTGAAAGGCTAATACACGAATCCAGCCTGTATGGTGAACTTTATTGTAAGTCAGAGGTGGCTAAACTTACTAACCGTCTGAGCCGCATATGACAGTCTTCAGAAGTTCGAGAGCCAGGGTGCGTCTGCTGGAGCTCGGGGCTTCAGCCCCACTCCTGCTGAAGCTGTGAGCCCCAGCAGGCGCGCCCTGCAGGCCTGAAGCTCCAAGACACCCGCCCCAGCCCGCTGGTCAGAAAGCAACCTGTGGGAGGGAGACGTGGAAGGTCACATGCCCTCTCCTCCCCTCCCCCCAATTTTTGCTAGGGTTTGCTGGCCCCGCTTGGTCACATAGTGCTGCCGGGGATAAATACATTAAAGACTGTGAGGCATTCAAGTACTATGGTCATGGGAGCCATATAAGTACCTAAGATAGGTAGATTAGAGTGAGTGATTGATCACAGGTCTAAACCCCTGTGTAGGCGGCATGTAGGGACCCTATAGAATTGGAGTGGCAGTGCAACCCTCAGTTTACGGATAACAATTCCCGCCTCCCGGCACTCTTAGATTCCCCTTCACACAGCCCATTTTCTTGAGCTTTGTGAGGAGGGCCCAGAGACGACTCCCCTCCCCAGTCCTTGACTGTTTCATAGAGAAAAAACAGAATTTAGCAACGTTACCGTTTAATATTCCTCGGCCCTACAAAATCTCTCTATCCTGTTTGTGACTTTCACAACATTGAGGTTGACTTCGGTTTGAAGACTGAAAGGATTCATTTTTCAAGAGTATTTGTTGTCTATAATAACTCCTTAGAAATGCAAAACTATGTTGTATTTCATAACAAAATATATTTTCCTCTCTCTGCTCATGTGTGCACACAGGCTTGTTTTGTAAGAGCACCAGGCTTCTGGAATGGATTTTTGTTTTGTTGTGTTAAAAAAATATTGAAGTGTATATTTTTATGAATAATACATACAAAGACTTTTATCTCAGCTTAGTAAACATACCACTAGGTTTAACAAGGTAGATCAAAATGCAGGTCTGTCTTGACTTTCTTCTTTTAAGTATTGTGTTTAATGAGCTTTGGTTTTATTTCACAGTATGTAAATCCTGCATTTGAAACAGCGATGGGCTATCAAATAGGTGAATTAATAGGAAAGGAATTAACTGAAGTGCCTATAAATGAAAAAAAAGCCGATTTCCTAGATACTATTAATTCCTGCATAAAGATAGGAAAGGTAAGTAGCAGTATATCATTTATCATTCCATGATATTATTACACACTACCTGTAGGAGTGATAATTGGCCAGGCGTAAAACACAACATAGACTTTACAGGCATGTAACATGCATTCTTTGCTTACTCACACAAGTAATCCCATTGAAGTCAATGAGACTAGTTGTGACGAGCAGGATTTGGCATATAACATACTAACCTGGGGTCCAATCCTCTTCACACTGAAGTCAATTGCATTCATCTTATTGACTTCAGTGGGAGCAGGTTTAGCCTAGTCCTCTCAACTGCGATAATAATGGGCTCAATCCTGCAAGGTACAGAGGAGAGCCATGTACTCCTCAATTCTCATTGGTACTTTGCTGCATTGGGTCTTGTAGCGCTGCTCCTCACTGTAGATTCTATTTTACCCGCATTGAAAACAAATCTTGTGGTATCTCACTCTCATTGTTATAACTCCAAACACTTTAAATTATGGGTCTGAGGATGTGGACAACCTTACTGATGCTAAAGAAATGAATCCCACATGATTCAAATCTTCTCATCCAATTTGTGTGTGTGTGCGTGGACATATGTGCCCATGCGCCCCTTCATTGTATCCCATATTTGGTATGCTTAATAATGGTGAAAAACAATTAAAAGAAATCTCTGAGAACAATAAATATTCTATGTTGGTGGGAAAATTCTTATCAGTGGTAAAAAAATTTTTTTGACATTGTCAAAACATAAAGCTGTGTAATTTATAGTGTAAGAACATGATAAGATGGAGTAATACATTTCTAGAATGGGAACTGAGCTGAGTTTAAAGAGGTTTGGGTCTCATCAAGAATGACATTTTCCTTTTTGTAAAGGTTACTTTCAGTTAAGTTGCATGGAAAAGTAAGAGAGTAAAACACACTCCTGTGTTGTTTCTATATAGCGTGTGTTACATGTTTGTGTACTCACTTTACATATGTAGGGCATATGCTGCATGCACCAAAAGGTGCGGAAACCTAAAAGGGAGGTGGAGAATAAGGAAAACAAGGTAGCTTGATATGAAAGAACAAGTTGTCCAGTGGCAAGTAGATTAGAACAGAACCACACTCAGGTTCCAACATGATACATTGTAGCTGATTAGCAAGCTCAGAATTTAGAAACCTTGAGAGAGAGGCATGTAATTTCTATCACCCTCAAGAGACATGTCAGCTTTCAACTGCCAGGCCCTTTTCTTCAACAAGAGAGGTAGTTCTCTAATGACTAAGGAACTCTCTAGTGGATTTCCATTAGAAATACTTATTGCATCAAGGAAGTGCAGGGGAGTCAGATGGCTTCACAGTGCGGATATGGAGGTTGATAACAGATTTTGCTGACTGCCTCATAGCACTGTGGTGTTCCTTTGACTCTATTCTTGTTGTGGCACTATGTGAGTGTGCATCCTAGTATGTCTCGGAGCTGACATTTGCATCTTGACAGCAAAGCGTAAATGCCTTCTGAGGCCAGTGAAAAGATATGTCATGGTACCCTATCTAAGGAGACACAGATTGTGGTGGTAACATGAGGAATTTTCTGAATCAGCTGCATTTTCAAAGATGTGCCATGGCATATCCACAAGGCTGAGTCAGGGTAGCTAATTGGGTCACACTGGCTGTCTGCTGGGAAACACCACGTTATTGACAGTGTGGTGAGATGTTAAAATTAATTACTAGTGTTATGTACATCTAGGTATTGATGCATCAAGGCACTAACGCAAAGATGTGATTAGTCACACTGTGTACATCAAGGTAGTAACGTGAGTATTCGTCTAGAAAGGCAATGATGTGTCTCTGTGCAGATGGAATGTGCATCTGAACACGAAACTGTCGTGTCTGGATATTGACTGGAGTGCTGGATCCAAGAGACATCCAAGGGCTAAAATGATGGCGCTTCACAGTTCTGTTGCCTCTGTGAAGGTGCATCCAAATAAAGACACGTGGTACAGGTCTGATACCATTATGTGGTGTTCATTAAGTTAAGAATACAGATCAGTTAGTTCTGTTGGGCTTCGTGACTACAGCATCTAGTATTCACGATTTCCAATTATCATATTTTCAATTATTTTTAATGTAATAACAAAAATGTCTCTAACAGAAATGTATTTTTAGACTACTCATGGTAAAAAAAAAACCTAATACTGAGTAATATTTTTCCTCTAAGTATGGAGCTGTCAAGATTTTTGTGTTTTAGTATTCTGATATCAGGACACCCTTCTGTGAATATTAGTGAGATATTAAACTTTAAACCCTACATTTCTGGAAGGTCTTAAACTCTCCTCGATGTAGATCTGTGTTTGTTTCATATGTCTTCTTATTTGCCATTGGCAAACTTAACAGTTTGTAATCTACATAGATTGTAAAAATGTAGAATTTTACCTATTAACACAAAAGGAGTTCTTCCATGAAACATTCGCAGATGCAATTTTACTGTGTGGTTCAACATTTGAAAGATCACAATACTTTGAAAGTGTTTTATACTGAATTGTTCCAGGAGAATTTGAAACTAATTTGCCTCTGGAAGGAATAACATTCTCCAAAAAGTTTTGGTTGTGTCAAGATAAATCTGATTTGATTTATCTATCTCCCTCCATGTTTGTGATTTCTTTGTACATGTGAAAAAAGACTGCTTCCAGTTAGCAACCAAATATGTGGGCACTGTAACTTGATTACACTAGCATACAATATACCAAGTAATTTCTTTAGCCCAGACAAAAAACTGTGCTGTGATGTTTTCTGATCATCCAGCACATAGTAGGAGTTCTTATCTCATGATGAGACTAACCCTTCCCAGTTTGAGACTACGTAGTATCATAACAAACACAGTAACAAACCAGAATTTCTGATAGAGCTGCTCCAGGGATTTGGGGAAAATATTTCTAGTTGTACAGTGGGATCCAAGATGGATCTATGCCTGTTCATCCACACCTGTAGTATTTTAACTCCTGTGTTGAGAAACATTAATCTGTGGCCAAGTTTAGCATCTTCAAAGAGCATTTGATTGGCATTTTACACAGTAAAGCAAGGGACTGTTTTAGCGAATGGACTTGGACAATCCATGTAGTATACAGTGATCAGGAAGGATATTGTAGAGCCAAGCAAAAAGATGTCTTTGGTTAACGTATGCTGGCTGTACTCACAAGAGACCAGCACTATCAAAAGGCATTTTCCTTCTGTTCAAATTTAAGAAATTAAGATGCAACACTTGCATATTCTTAACTCATTGAATGAATCAAATTAGGTCCGCTGAGGTGAAATGTGAACTAGCTGATCACATCTGACTAGAAGTTTTGCTGCATCTGATCCCTATGATCTGGGACAAAAAATCTTTATTTGAGATAGTTTCACTTTTCATAAAGTGAGGACAAATCTACACCACAGCGAGAGTGTCTCCCACCGACAGTGTTGGTGCGGACAGCACTTAGGTTGATGTAACTTATGTTGCTCAGGGGGATGTCTTTTTCACACCCCTGAGTGACATAAGTTACATTGACTTAAGCGGTAGTGTAGACCAGCCCTCATGAGATACCTATTGATAATTCAGACAAGGCACCCAATTTCTCCCACTGCTTGGGAGTTACTCTGCAGAGGAATATATAGGGGAAGTTATTTAGTTATCTAAGGCAAGTGAGTAGTTTGTAAGGGTGCACACTGTGTGCAATTTTGTATGAAAACTGAACCAAACTCAGTGGTCCTTCCCTGGACTCAGATTACATTGTGGAAGATTTTGTGCTTGACATTGGTGTTTACAATGAGCTTTGGTGTCTTACTGTATATATGAATCCATGGGATGATGGGTAATGAAGCATTGCCTTCTGAAGGTAGCATTAGATTATTATATCAAGGATGTTATTGATTCCTTCTTTTCTACTTACACCAGACATTCTTAGTCTTTATTTTAACACCAGAACATTAGGCCACGCTGAAGTGACTGTAGCACCATATTTCTAGGACAGTAATTCACTCATAAGGATGAGCTCAGTTGAAGGCATGTGTCGAGAGGTACATATTCTCTATTTAGCTGGCTGACAGAGGTTCTTGGAGAAAGCATATGGAGTTCTTAAAATATGTTTATGTAATATCCTTGTAAGAACTTTACATAATGGCTGGTGTTTGGCTTAGACCAGAACTGAAATGTTCTGACCCTTCTCCTCCACACGTTGCCTTTCAAGGTTTTCTTGTTTTTTTCAGACATTACAACTGTGAATTTTTGCCTATTGAATATGAAGCAAAATCCATTAGTGACTGCTTCTATCCTGACATGATGGGAAGGCACTTGCAACTATAGAATTATTCAATCTGTGCATTATGACTTCATCCCTTTATGCATATTCTGACCTTATTATCTGGGTTTAGAGATTGATTACTCATCTCTCTCTTATCCTGGTTGTCAGGGAACTATTGCTATGTATCATTTTAATTCCAAGAGCATAGAACTGTGTAATGTTTGCTTAGTCCTCATTTATATTCCTCATGCAACATATGGGAGAAGATATTATGCTTGATTCCCAGTTTGTTGTGCACAGTTCTTTTCTCAGACCGATACATGGAAAAACCTTTCAGGGTTTTTTTTTAAATTATTTTATTCCTCTCCTTCCTCCCACCCTCCCCCCACTGCTTGTCATTATGCAGTCCTTATGAATGCTGGATTCTTTGCTTGTTGGTTCTCCTTCCCCAGTGCAATTTACATTAGAATGTAGGGCAAATTCTACCCTTAGTTATGCCTGTGCAGTCTTGGCCCATCTGTCTATTGGTTTCTCTACAATATAAGGATAAATGTAGGTGTGTATATACATTATTCTGTACTATGTGCATGTGCACACGGATACACATATGCATAGAAAACCTGATCAATTAAAAGACTCCCTGTGACTTCATTGGGCTTTGGATGACGCCCATATACAGTAAGCAGTCAATTTGTTGTTCATTGTTGGACGCTCTTGGATCCAGATTTTCCAGACTCTTTTTTTCTTTAAATTTATGCTAGGATGGACAAACTTGTGGGCATGACTTTGAATCCACTCAAATATCATGGGTCTACAGACTGCTTCATACTGAATGTTATTGGCTTTGCATTATGCTATGGAAAAAAGAACAAAAAGAGGAGTGTGGGAGAGAAGTCAGGTGAACAGTGGAACAGAAAGCAGACAGAATGGGGACAGGGTTGTGGGAGAAGACTGAAGAAAGCTACAGAGAGAGAAAAAGAATTGTACTGGCAAAATATGGGATGTACAACATCTGTTTGTGCCAGCCTCACTTGTGGAGTTTTTTCTATTCCCCAATTCATAGAACAGCCTCTGCTTTAAGTAGAAGTTGTTGTTAGATATATGAAAATAATAATAATAGGAGTAACTGGGTGAAATCTGCCACTTGTTATACAGGAGATCAGATAATGGTCTCTTCTGGATTTAGAATCAATGAATAAAAAAAGATTTTTTTAACAGGATGTCCTTTAAAAATATAGGTTTAAAACAGGAGGGGAAATAGTCAGTTTCTGAAAATTATATCCAGGGCTGACCAAAAATTTTACATCTAAGCTATTTTTTGACAGAAAATTTGGTTTTCAATTAACTGCAACCTTCACTAGAAGAACAGGAGTACTTGTGGCACCTTAGAGACTAACAAATTTGCGGATACAGACTAACACGGCTGCTACTCTGAAACCTTCACTAGAAGGTTCTGCTTTCCATAGAAAATTTTGACTGTTATTTAAAAAAACCCCAAATCCTGAAAACCAAATGCTTTCCATTTTTTGGATTTTTGACAAAAAGTTGAAATGTCTGGCAGAAAAAAAAAACAGGTGTTTTCTGACAAGCTCTACTCACCCGTTAGCTTGAAACCCAAGAGTGTGGATCTATTATAACTACAGAGCTAACTTCAGAGACCAAGAAATAGACATGTTTCAACCCCTCCAGAGTTGGACTCCTCTAGAGCCCATCAACCAATGCTCCCCAATTGGCTGGTCAGTGTGCTATTATATATACAAAACATTTCTCATGTTTTCTGTCTCTGGAATTAAGCTTCAGAATTGTGTGAAATTATTTTGGACTTTAAATTCTTAAATTTGTTTTTATAAATAACATATTGGGGCAGAAGGAGCGGCTGTCTGAGTTTTCTGGAGAGGTGAATAATTTCTCCAATGAGCTAAAAGAATGGGACGCTTGTAAGTGGAGTGAGAATCCACAGCCCCAGTTGCATCTTCAGTTCTTCTTCTTTCTGAGTCCACGTTTCTCTGACACGTGCATTGCCTCTAAGACCCCTAAGAATGAACGTCTAGGTCTGGGATTGTAAAGCAGATTTAACTGAAAATATATCAAATTTAGATTTTTATTTTTATTTTTTCCTGACTCTCTTGGCAGTAATAAATGAAGAGGAATTTTTAGAAAATAGCCTTAGATTTGTTAATTACTTAATTGAATGTAATTACCCTTGGACTACTCTTGCAGGAATGGCAAGGAATGTATTACACCAAAAAGAAAAATGGAGATAGCATACAACAAAATGTGAAGATAATACCTGTCATCGGACAGGGAGGGTAAGTGCAAAAGTGAAGTACCTTTTCAGTATGTATTTGAGGTCTGATATAATGCTCAATGAAGTCAGAGACTCCCATTGGCTTCAGTGGGCCTTGCATCAGTCTCTATTGCTTTCTAAGTGAAATCCATCCCTGCAGAGCTGGGAGCCTGCAGTGGACCGATCCACCACTTAAGTCCTTAGGGTAAAATCCACTTTACTCACATAATGCTTGGCTAATTGCACTGTATGCAAGGGAAGTGAAATCCAACCCCCAATGCAGAGCTAGGGTTTGGGCCAAGCTCCCCTGTGGCTATTATTCCAGCCTGTGGGCTAGAGTGGTGAGTGCTCCATTATGCCTTGTGTTGAGGCTACTGGAGGGAGCCACATAGAGCCTATGTTCCCTCCCATCATCTCCATCCATGCTGGCCTATGCAAGGCTGGTGTACAGACTGGTTCTGTGGTGCAGCTACTTGATCTGTGTAGGTCCTTTACACTTACATCCCAGGTGATCTTCACCCAAAGGGAGCTAGCATTCCTTACTCAGGCAAAATTCCCGTTTCCCCAGCACTTCCAGTCAGCCATTGACTGGGATGTTTAGAGCAGAATGGTAAATATTGATTATTAGAACATTTACGGTAAGTCCCCCTATGCAATTTCAGTAAAGAAAGGGGGACCAGCTGGCATATATTGTAGCAGTCCCTAAACTCTCTGCTTCTTCCCAGGTGATACCAGTGGAAAACATGTAGAGTTATTAAAATAATATGGGCTTGATGATATAAGAGTACACATTCCTCCGGGAACCCCCACTTTTGTATGTCCCTTCCTTCTCAGGTTGATCTATCTTACCATGAAGGAAAGGTTGTATGCAACTTCTTTCCTATCCAACAAACATTATAGATTAATTAAATGAGCGGGGGAAACTCCACTCTTTATAGGCAGAAGAAGTGGGCTGTTTTAAATTGCTGGCATCCCTTGGTAGTAATTCATACTCTCTATTCTCCATCAGTGGAGCAAAAGCATCTGGCAGCTTGTGATACAAAGCAGAAGAGATGGACCCATACTCATGTATACATTACCTGAGTACAAAGCAAATGCGATTGGCACAGTGAGTGTCATGGCAATCTGGAGGCATTTAGGATGGTACTAGCCTAGGTGACTGCTCCGCCCCTAAACCCTGTAGTCTGTCTGTCTGGACCTACATCATTGCAGATGCACCAGCCACACCATACACCTAAACTTCCCCCAGCAGCAGCAGAGAATGAGCCCACATAATATGGCTATACAGCCCACACATCCCACCCTCCCTCCCTCCTGCCCTCCAGTGCAGCTGAACTGCATTGGTTCCAGGCCCCCACACAGTAGGATTTGTCCTGGATGGATTTATTGCTAGTATGGATCTTGTAAATTTAAAATGCAGCTAGATGTGAATCAGAGCTGGGAATCGGAGCCACAATAACACATTGTTTTTTGCCTACAGAAAGATTAGACACTATGTGTCAATTAGTAGACTCTGCAATGACAACAATAAGGTAAGAAAAAAAGGTGATTTGTCCATTTTAGTTTAAGCAGAAAATATCACAGTGTGATCAGGAGATTGATTAACTGGATTTCTTATATTGATTTGTAGGCAGAAAGAATATGTGAACGTGTTCAGGCTGAATCTCAGACAGGTACGTTATTGCATTTTTGTAACAAGAAGCATGGGATGTATGCAGGAAAAGATTAGATAGGTCGCTAAGATCAGACTCAAACATGGGTTACACAGCGCAGTGAAAACAATAATATTTTGATAGCAATAAAATGGTATTCCTGGGGGAGACAAAATAAATGCAAGTTATCTATGCCAGGCAAATTTGTTTCAGAAGTGACATAAATCAAACAAACCTTGAAAATGTAATGTGTCTGTGTTAGAACCATGAGTGGGTACCACATTTGGCTCTATTTCACATTCCAGTCATAGGTAGTGTAGTTGATGCAATCTCTATGACTAGATTAGAAATGTCAAGGACACCATCTAGATGGAATTTACGTCATGGCTAATATAATTCATGGCATGCACCTTTTGCTTCTTTATTAAAGATCTGTTGCTTTTGCTATTTTGGGATATTGCATGTGGATGGATACGACGATGAATGCACATAATTTAGGGCTTGGTCCTGCTCCCATTGAAGTTCATGGCAAAACTCGCCTCGCCTTCAATGGGCCTTAGAGTTCCAGAGTTTACAGGGTGGTTTCAACCCCAAATCAATCTGTTTATATTCTGAACAATTATGATTAGGAAACTCCCAGCTGGTTTTTTATTTAATTTAAATTTAAACCCAGATAACTGCCTCCTCCCTTTAAAAAAAAAATACTGACGTATTCTAGCAGTGCCACTTCAGGACCTGGGGCCAGTGCTGCAGGGGACAGCAGTACATTTTAACAAGGGTTCTCATATAGTAAGCGTGCCTCTAGGCTCCTTCCCACCTGAAGCAGGAGGTATGTGGGACCAAGTTATGCTATTCCGCCTTCTGTTACAAAGCAGAGGGATCAAACCCACATTCCTCATGTGCCTCTGGTGGAAGCCATCTTCCACTGGAGGATGTGGGGGAACAATGAGGTAGCTTAGGGAGTGAATCAGAAGAAAGCAATACCATAGCACTCCAGGGAGTTCTGTACAAGCAGCCACCATGGATTTTGCGGTCTAACTCTACTCTCTCCTGCCTGACGGTCTTAAGACACACATACCCCATCAGTGCTGGGATTTGCCCCTCCAGTATTGCACTTTAGAAGACTTAAAATAAAACCTTTGTTCCTCCTCTCCTCTCTGCTATGCCCTTGGGCTCTGCTCATAATTCAGCTCCCCTTTTGATCTTCCCACCCTAAACTAGTTCTTTTGAAGGGATGAAGGAGTATGTCCACCCACACTTAGAGTCCTAGGCTGCAACTCTCTGTCTGCTCCTTGTTGTACTCAGTAGTAATGCCCCCATCCCCTGCCTTAGGCAATCTCAGCTCACTGAGAAACACTTATCTGGTATGAGTCAATTAAAACTAAAAAACAAGCAATGGGCCAAACCCTGTCCTCAGTTATCCTTGTGTAACCACTTTCTGTGCTAATTAACCCACATGCAATGGGACTGCTTGGGCCTAAGTGAGCTCAGAAATTGCCCTATTGACTTAAGTCACTGTATCTGCCTTTCAGTTCCCCCATCTGTAAAACAGGGAGAACAGACTCCCTCCCATAGGCTGTTCTGGGGATTAAGCAGGTAATGTCTATACGTATGTCAAGGTTGGCTTACTAAATATTATTATTAATTGTACAGTCCAACAACTCTTGCATGAAGCCATTTAATGGTGATTTTCTAAGATGTGAAATATTCAGACAACTGAGAACTCTTGTCTACTGAAGTTTCTAACTTGCCTTAGAGCCAAATGCTGTCTGCCTCCGGCCCTAAACACATCTAGTGCAGGGGGTAGCCTCAAAGACAACGCAGACTCCGCTCAGAGTTTGAGGGGTTGGTAGGGGTGGGATAGGGAAGTGGTCAGCGGCTTCACCACTGTGTAGACCCATAGGACCTGAGGAAGAGCTCTGTGTAGCTCGAAAGCTTGTCTCTCTCTCCAACAGAAGTTGGTCCAGTAGAACATATTACCTCACCCACCTTGTCTCTGTAGATCCATAAGGGGTGTTCAGGGGCCCCTCTTACTTGTACAGCTCTATTACTGGCAGCGCTGTGGCTGAACCGCCACTCTACACCAATGCGAGAGAAGACTCTACATGCTCTTAGCCCTGGTCTACACTGGGGGGGGGGGAATCGATCTAAGTGAATAACGTAGCTGAAGTCGACGTACTTAGATCGACTTACCGTGGTGTCTTCACCGTGGTGAGTCGACTGCTGCCGCTTCCCCGTCGACTCTGCTTGCACCTCTCGCAGCGCTGGAGTACAGGAGTCGATGGGAGAGGGCTCGGGGGTCAATGTATCGTGTCTAGACTAGATGTGATAAATCGATCCCCGCTGGATCGATCGCTACCCGCCAATCCGGCGGGTAGTGTAGACATACCCAGAGATCCTCTACACAAAGGCCATTTACTCTTGCGTCTTTGCTTGAGGCAAGAGCAGCATCCAAAGAGAGTGACGTGGGAGCATCCATGCCAAGGCCAGTGTGAATACAGTTCTAAGAAGCTGTTTTCCAACCAACTGTAGCATTATCCATGTTGCTCCGCTGCTATCAAGCTTTTACCTATGTTTAGTTTCCTTTAACATATAATCTGGGAAGAGCCTTTGTTGCAGTCATTGTATAACACTGATGTCTCCACAGATATTCAGACTTGCCGACACAAAGATAGGAGGAAAGGATCGCTTGATGTCAGATCCACAACCTCACGAGGAAGTGATGGTATGTTAGATAAGTGGATGTTTGTATATTTTTCACATGGCTTTTAAAAACCCTCAAGACGTGAATATTTCATATTTATGCAACTACCCCATGTGTTATGCCTCTGAGCAATATTTTTTTATCCTATTTTTTTGAAAACTTTAGAAATGAAAGGCCAGATTCTGCCACCCTTACTAACGTTGGGTAGCACTTACTGTCATGAGTAATCCCATAGAATTCAATAGAACTACTCCCAAAGTAAGTTACTCTTCATCATTAGTAAAGGTAGCAGATTCTGGGGCCCCCACAAGTATTGGGGTTTGTTGTAGTTTCCCTATCTACTCTTCCCATTAAAGTCAAAGTTAAATTTCTTCTTAGTTTTTGTTTGTTTTATTTGCACTATGTTGTGTCATACATCAGGGAGTTACACTTCATCATGGCATATCACCCTTCACCTTAGTAGGTAGTTCACATACTGCAGGGTTTTGCTGGTGTTTATAAAGCTTCTGTTAAAACATGTATCAGTACATTCTAGGCAATGGTCCAAGTCTGGTGAAAATTTGAAGTAACAGATTTACTTCTAATTTTCACCAGACTGACCATTGCTACAAAAATAGCCTGGATTCTGAGGCTGAAGATGTGCTCAGCATCAGCACAAAGGTAGCCGAGAAGTAGCCACATCTTACTAGGTTACAGAACAGGAAATAGCCTAGTTTGGCCTTTGCTGCCAAAAATTGCTAATTGACACACAAGATGTATGTTTTCCAGTCCCTGATTAATGACATCAGTTGTTATGGGCCAGAACCTCAGTTGGCATAGCTCATCATCGCTGCATTAAGTTCAAAGAACCTACACTGATTTACACCAGCTGATGATCTGACTCATTGTGTCTTGTCAGGTCTTACACCCTTGTAGTATTACAGGCCCCTCTTCTCCCCCCCAAAGACAACATAGATATGGCGCTTGTGGCTGAACATTTTATAAAACATTTAAAATATAAAAACAGCGACTATGTTGCCAGGCCATTATGGCTGCTTATCTCTGTTCTGTGTTGTTGGTGATTCAGAGCACGTCTATGTGAGCATCCTTATCAGTATAGCAGGACAAGTGTGCATATGCATGCTGTTATAGGTGGTCCTGAAGGTCATGGCAAACGAGGAATTCTTGGCTAACTCTGGATGTCATGCATTGTCATTTTAATCAGAGTGCTAATTTTGCTTTGTCTTCTGCACAGGCAGTTCACAGAGGCGACACTCCTCCATGGCCAGGATACATTCCATGACTATTGAAGCACCCATCACCAAGGTAATGCACCATTGCTGGTGTTCATGAAGTCAGACTATCGGAATTTACCTGGATTTTTTTCTGAAATACTGTGGCAGAAACCCTCTGCACAGCACCTGGCCTGAGTAGCTGGGCCACATGCAATGGTTGTAGACGCTTATGCTGGCTCTTACACCACGTCTTCCCTTTCTCCCATCTCCCACAGTGAGTGATTGGAAGGATCCAGGAAGTGGCAAATGCCCAATCCACCCTCGCCCGCCCTACTGTCCTTGCCTGTCCCCTCCACCTGCCACATAGGAGTGTGCACCGTCTGCATCTCTCTCCACATTCAGCCCCCTCTTTAGCACAATTGCACTGGTTCTGTTGCCTGGAGGCGCTCTGCCCATGCAAAGGAAGGGACTAGATTTCCCCTTCATACATATTCGTTGTAATGCATAGTGGCTGACTTTTATTTTTCCCCAGGGGTGCTCTGCCCTGAGGTCCTGCCCTCACTCCGCCCCTTCTCCCGAGACCATGCCCTCAATCTGCCTCTTCCTGCCTCCGCTCTGCCCCCTTTCCTGAGGCCCCACTCTCGCTCCGCCTCTTCCCACCCCCACGCCAGCCCCTCCCCTAAGGCTCCTGCCTGCCTGCCACTCACTGCTCTTTGCTCTCCCCCAGCCCCCAAACAGCTGATTGGCGCTGAGCACCCACTATTTTTTTCTGTGAGCGTTCGAGCCCTGGAGCACCCACAGAGTCAGTGCCTATGTTGTAATGTGTCTCAAGAAATCATTCAAGAGACCAACAAATATCAGTTGTTTAATAAAGTGACCTTCTGATACAGGTAGAAGGGGATTGTACTGAGTCTGTTTGGAGATACTTTGGGCGAGTGTCTTAAGACAGGAAGTTGCCTAATAAGAATGGCCTCTTTAAAGCCTCGATCCTGCTCCCACAGTCAATAAAAGACTTCAGTGTTTCACTGTTGATCCCCTAGAGATTTCACAGTAGTTCTACATAATCTGAATTAAATACTGCTATGTTTAGTAACAATGACTTCTCATATTAGTCACTGAGAATCTCTCTTTTCTTCAATCGCTTCTAAATTTCAAGAGTTTCTTATATTAACCTAGGTAATAAATATTATCAATGCTGCACAAGAAAGCAGTCCCATGCCTGTCGCAGAAGCTTTAGATCGAGTGTTGGAGATTCTAAGAACTACTGAGTTATACTCTCCACAACTTGGGACAAAAGATGAAGATCCACATACAAGTGATCTCGTTGGAGGATTAATGACAGTGAGTACATATGATGGCAAACGATTGCTGACATAAATGCTGGGGCATGGATTCTCCTTGCACTTACTCCAGTTTACATCAGTGTAGCTTCAGTGGAACGCCATTGATTTAACTGGAATCACTCCTAATTTTTACATTGTTACAAGTGAAAGGAGGATCAGGTCCCTTGATTTTTATTTTTTTTTAATGGAATACTCAAGTATATGCATTAAAGTTCTGTGCGTAGGTTGGGAGCCCAAACTGCATCATATGATGCATGCATGTGAGGCAGGCAGGGCCGGCTCTAGGCACCAGCAAAACAAGCTGGTGCTTGGGGTGGCACATTTTTAGGGGCGGCATGGCCGGC